TCTCGCTGTCCATGAGTTCTGCATAGGTGGCTGCTCTTCATCATAGCTGATGTCAACCTTTTCAGCTGCAACACGAGACTGGACTCACAGGCTGATCACGTTTAAACAAGCTCAGAGGAGTGGTGCGACGTAACAAAGTATTCAAGTACTGTACTAGATTTAAAATACTTGTACAACAGCTCAGAGGGGAACATTGTAGTTAGTAACTCGAAGTTATTCAACAACTTCAACAAGAGTTAATACAGAAGGCACTGAGAATATGCAGTTACACATGTAACTGGTCAACAGTACATTAAGTTAGAGTTCAAATGATTAGTCAGGTAATTAAAATTAAGTCAGTTTTGCATAAACAAATGTAATTTCATGGTTTGAGGATTTGCTTCTTTGTTGTTTAATGTAAGTGAATTCAGTATTTGAATTTATCACTTGGGTTCTTATCCAGTCACCAAGCTCATTTTACCAATAATACTCAGATTAATCATATTGGATATTTTAAACCTACATTACAAATTTAGTTACAGTAGCTCCACAACATTAAAATGCAGTTAGGCACAGGCTGTTTTCCCTGTAGGGAGCTTTACTTTCTGCCCCACGTACATTATAACTTTACCCACTTATTTCAGACAGCAGGTTTATAAAAAACTTTCATGAAGACTCTTCACTAAGCTAAAATTCAGATGCCTTTGTAAACTACCAATTACCAAATATATTAACCAACTACCTAACATGCTTTAAGCTACAAGTCAACACTAATGTTGACTTGCTCTGTATGCTATTGCTCTTTATATAAAAGACAAGACAAATTCTTTGGGTTTGTTTTTATTAAATAACTCTGCACAACAGTAATGATGACAGTCAGTGCAGCAGAGCCATTGGTCCTGGACAGCGACTTCAGGCAGTCTCTTCCTTGGCAATACGGTCCTTCTTGAGTGGTCCCTGTGGAAAAGAAACAGGATGATCAGTTGTATGCCAATACTTAACAGTCTGCTATTGGCCTGTAGTCTGTTGGCTCAGAGAAGCCAGTGTTCCCAGAGAGTGAACAGGGAGCGAGCACAAAGGGGCACTGCTCCCCTGCCTCACTGGGGCTCACTGTAGCACTGGAATGGAACCCAAAGTTCACACTGAAGATTGAACCAGGTTACGATCAGTGCAGGACAACTAAAGACACCTGGCAGTATGAGAGTAGTGTCTGCAATTTTTAAATTAGCTCACTGTGTGCTTCTGCTACAGATAATTGCATTTTTTCCCCAAAGGAAACACTGGCTGAGTATGTCACAACCTCAAAATCATGCAATTTTATGCTACATCCTGAACAAGCAACTCTCCATAAACTAACTGAGAACAGGAAGAGCAGTTTGATGGGACACAGCTTTGAGGAATGACTTTTAGGACAAAGTCTTACCATGAACGCCTTCTTTTCCTCCACGGTCTGGAATCGGCCATGACCGAACTTGGAGGTGGTGTCGATAAACTTGAGGTCGATCTTCTCCAAGGCACGGCGGCTTGTCTGCACCAGCAGAGACTGGAAGAGTAATAAAGAGTTGGGAGGTTAGCATCATGCTAAAAGTTTATGACCATTAAGACACTGCTAGAATATATAGTATATAAAAGCACTACAAGTTTGCTCACCTTGCGCAGAGTCAGCACCCTCTTCTTGGTTCCCACAACACATCCCTTCACCATGACAAAGTCGTTGGTCACATCACCATAATGGACAAAGCCACCCTATAGAGAGAGAAAGAAGTCAGATCTTTGCTCCCAGGTAGGCTGTGACAACAGAAGCACAGGGTGCATGAGTGTCACTTACCAGGGGGTTGATGCTCTTGTTGGACAGATCATACTCTGTGGAGGCGTTGTTTTTCACCAGCTTTCCCTCCTTGGTGTGGTAGCCTTGGCCGATCTTGTAGATCTTCTTGTTGATCTCTGTGCGGTGGTGGTAGCCCTTCTGACCAGCACGGGCCACGGAGAAAGCCACACGGGCCGGATGCCAGGCACCGATACAGGCCACCTTACGCAGACCACGATGGGTTTTGCGAGGAAGCTTCTTTGTGTGCCAACGGCTGGTGACACCTGGGAGGAGAGGAGAT